CTGCCCGTGAGGCCTAGCGCCCGCTCAGCCCCTGGCTCTAGGTCAAACTCCAGCCTGCCGCTTCCGCGGTGCAAGAGCGAGTCTCTCCGCCCGCCGCCCCTTCGGCTGCCGCGCGCAAGCCCGCGACCTCTCCGTTATGCCGCGGGCATGGGCTGGGCTCGAGTCAGCGTGACCTTATAGTGCTGGGAGCCCAAGGACACCAGCAGGCCGCGCCGGAGAAGATTCATTCATTCTTAGCGTACTAGATTGATTTTTTTTTTTTTAACTTTCCGATTTCCGAGTCTCTCCGCCCGCCGCCCCTTCGGCTGCCGCGCGCAAGCCCGCGACCTCTCCGTTATGCCGCGGGCATGGGCTGGGCTCGAGTCAGCGTGACCTTATAGTGCTGGGAGCCCAAGGACACCAGCAGGCCGCGCCGGAGAAGATTCATTCATTCTTAGCGTACTAGATTGATTTTTTTTTTTTTAACTTTCCGATTTCTCCTCACAGCTAAGGACTGCAGTGAGATTTTTTTTTTTTTAGCTCTAAAACTTTAGAGTAGGTACAAGACTAACGTCTGTGTAATTTCCCTGGTTAGTGATGACGTGGTGACATTCACAAATGAGCTAGTTAGAAGCACTTGTTTTAATGATATAAAGGTTAGCAACTTGAATAGTAGTATCAGGTTACAGATGTTCAGTATCCTGTCTTCATTTCAATTTCAAAATGTGCCATCTCTCCTTTTGTTTGTATTGCTATTAGATATATCCTACTTAAAATGTTACTTGCCTTTGTTATTACAGTACTGCTTAATAATTGCTCAGAATAATGGATTAGCATTAACCTGAGCACCTGGAATTAAAAGAATCCATTCCAGAAAAGGGAGCTTTTAGTTAGGAATCAAGTGACATATATGGAAGTTTTTGTATTGATATTATTAGGTATACCAATGTCTGCGAACTAGGGATGTTAAATTTAGTTTAATCAACCCTGCTGCGGCTCTGCCTTTTAAAGGTATTAAGAGCCTATTGTCTCAATACCTTTTAAAAGGCTAAAACCCAGTAGGAGCTGGGACAGCTGACTCCTGGCTTGTTCTGGGTCAGCCTTTTAAATGTAAAGGCTGGTGCGCAGCGGGGGGAGACCAAGCACAAGCCGGGAGTCAGCTGTCCCAGCCAACAGGCTCTTAATACATTTAAAAAGCAGGGGCACAGCATCTGGGAGTGGGTGCAAACTGGGAATCGGTTGATTCCCAGCTCGTACCCAGTCTCGCTAACCCCTGTCTCCTGCAGAGTCAGTGCTGGGGGAAACTGGCTTTTAAGCTGGCTCCTCCCAGCACTGGCTCCTGTCCCGTTTGTTCCCTTCCCTCCTCCCCTTCTCTCCCCCTAGTTGACTGACTAGTTGACTATCTGATAATCTTTTGCTTATCAGATAGTTGACTGGTCACTTATGCCTACTGCAGATTGCCACTGGTCACTGCTGTGACGAGTTAAGTCCTTGGTCTTACAAAAAAGACACTAAATCAGTGCCGTTATGTAGAAACGTTTGTGATCAATTATGTAACGTTGTCTTCTCTTACAGATCCGTGCAGGATCAAGAGTCTTGTACAGACCAATTTCTGCATCAGTGTTGTCTAGGCCAGAGGTCAGGACTGGAGAGGTACCTTATAAACTAAACTCTGTAGCTTCCTAAACTATCTGGTGAGCCCAAGTGTTCTCATCCTAGCTTTCAAATGTAATTTCCTAACTAAAATATTGACTGTATGACAGAGTCATCTAATAGATTTTTTTCCCATTTAACACTTCAATCCATTATGTTCAGCAAGTAATGTATGTCTGAACTTCTAATCACAGACTCTACTTAATGCTTTAGTATTTCTGGTTTAATGTGTTTGTAATAGAAGAATAGCACAGTAACTCAGAACTTCAAAATAGCTATGGAATATCTCAGTTTGTCTCTGTATTTAAATGTTTTGCATGTTTGTTTCTTAGGGCTGCTCAACACTTCATGGGGTCCAGAGCGCTGTCTCCCAAGTAGCACTTAGAGAGTTCCAGACTAGTGCTATCAGCAGGGATATTGACACTGCTGCCAAATTTATTGGTGCTGGCGCTGCCACAGTAGGAGTGGCTGGTTCTGGTGCTGGTATTGGAACTGTCTTCGGTAGTCTAATCATTGGTTATGCCAGGTAATCCCCTCCACTTTTTTATACCACTAAAAGACTTACCTGGTGTTGCTCACTGCAGGGGGCTGGGAGTATGGTGGGTGCAGGACTCAGAGCACAGGTTTGGGGAATGTGAGGTCCTCAGGGTTGGAGGGTGTGGGGCACAGGAGTCAGAATAGGGGGTTGGGAGGTGTGGGGAACTCAAGGGAGGAGGCAACTGGCACCTGCTCCCTGGGGCTGGGGAGCTTGTTGCCCCCCATAGTCATTCTAGAGTATAAGTTTCTGCTGTTAGCCCTCTCTCTTGGTTTGATGTGAAACAGTTGCATTCCAGGCACATCCCATTGTCCTGCAACAACCAAAGCCTTGCCTTCCTTTAATTTATAAGAGGAAGCTGCATACCAAATTTGGTGGTCCTAGCTCTTACTGTTTAGGCAGAGTTCCTGTGCAGATTCACACATGGATGAACACACAGACAGACACACAAACTCTCAAATATGTAGTAGATTTAAGTTGTATGTACTAACTTTTGGTGGGGTCATTCCAAGATTCTGGAAAGCGGTCAAGGGCTGCCCTTTTCTGTGGAGGTGCAGGATCTAGGATGGAGACTGGGTACAGAAGGGTGCACAGATTAAGGGACTGGGATGGAGGAGACAGTGTGAGGTCTGAGGGAGTTTGGATGAAGGTGAGGGTTGTGACCTGGGTCAGAGGATTAGGGTGCAGGGTCTGGGAAGATGTTTGGCTGCAGGAGAGGGTTCTGGCCTTGGGAGGGACTTGTGATCTGGGGCAGAGGAGTGCAAACAAGTTTGGATGATGATCTGGGGGAGGGAGTTGGCATGCAGGAGGGGCAGGGGTGCCAGAGGCAGGGGAGTTGGCATGCAGGATGGGAGGTGTTTACTTAAGTGTCTCCTGGCCAGCACTGCCAAGACAGGCTGGGATCCCTGCCTGCCTGCTGCAGCCCCAGACCACTTAGAGCTGCAGGCTGTTCCCTCCATGTGACTCGTGGCTCTGGGAGGGGGAAGAGGCTTGTGCTGCCCCCATCCTCCAAGCCAATCTCTCAGCTCCTATTGGCTGGAAACAGTCTCCCTCTCTCTCCAGAGCAGAGGGCTGCTGCAGCTCTGTGCCTGAGGGGCCTGGCAGGGTGGTCAATGGACTAGATCTGGCTTGCAGGCCATATTTTACCCAGCCCTGATATATACCTATTGATAAATTTGAAGATGTAGATTAGTAGCAGAGTCTTGATGATCTTCCTATAAAACAATCTGCATGTAGAATTGAAATAAAGCTCCTTGAATAATTTATCTAACATGTTAAGTTCTTGGTGAGATGGAATATTTGTTAATGACACACCAGGAACAAGTGCTGAATCTCTAAGGCTGGTCTATACCATGTGGCTTTTAGCAACACGGTCATGTTGACGTTACTTGCTAAAAGTAGCAGTTTAAATGCTGGCTGTTGGCACTTGTAAAAGATTACTTCCATCCTCTGTGTGGGGTTCACATTGTCACAGGATGGAGCTCTTGCCAACAACAAGCTGTTTGCATTGCCGCTTGCTACGGCAATTTTTTTGTCTTTCAGATGACTTTTTTTAGCACCTAATGAAGGACCATTTTTTGTCCTAAGTGCAGACAAAATATAAGGCCTACTGTGTGCTACACCCCTGGCACCCATCTAACCTTTGCATTGTCAGCTACGCAAATAACATAGTTGAAGTTAACGTACTTACTGAGGTGTCTTTCATGCAATAAGGTTAGTGGGGGCTACTTTCCTGTCAACTTGGCTACTCTTCATCTTGGTGGAGTTCTGGAGTTGATGGAAGAGAACTCAGAGGTGGATTCATTGTGTCTAAGTAGATGCAATAGACCAACCACTGGTGGATTCTTTTTTTTTCTCCTGCAGAGTCAATCCATCACGTAGTGAAGACAAGGCCTAAGATTAGATGTCAGTAAATGCAAACCTTAGGTGACTTATGTCTAGCTACAGCTAAATCAGGGTTTCATGTTTAAGTGCCAATTTCAACTCAGATTTCAAAACCTATCCTAGACTGAATATAACTTTAAAATATTTTGTAGGGAACCAACTGGATGGTGAATGTGTAATTGTACATGGTTAACCAATGAGCCTGGGCAGCCTCTGTTCACAACAACCAGGGTTTGCTGCTGAAGCAGCCCCCTGCCTGCAGCCAGCATGGGTCACCATGAACAGGGCTGCTGCGACCAAGCAGTCCTGGTTCACCCAGGTCCATAACTGCTGAATCTCTGCATTTTAAATGTAATAAGAGCTTCTGGGCTCTTACTACATTTAAAATGCAGAGCGGCAGCAGAGGTAGCTCCCAGGCATGGCTCAGACTGGGTCCAGCAGCCTATTAATGGGGCTTCTTCCGTGAAGCAGCCCCTGCCTCCGGTGGTTGGGGCTGGCTGCAAATGGGAACCTGTGGAGCAGCCTCGGCTTGGGCAAGCCTGGCCTGCCATGGGTAGCCCCCCCCTCCTCTGTGCTACTGCCTCTGCTTTTAAGCCAGCTTCCCTGAGCACTGGCTCTTGCTTCCCACCCCTTGCTTTGCTGCCTCTGATACAGGCAGCAGTAGTATCAACTCAACTATTCACTTACAACCCTAATTCCTGCTACTAAGGAAACAAACAATTGGCACAGGCAGGAAGTGACTTAAATTAGCAGTAGTGTTGCTGCTTTCTTTTCACCCACCCACTACCAAAAAAAAAAACCCCAACATTGTTTCTATTTGCAAATCTCTTATGAAGTGTTAACCTGGCACTAAAAGCCTGGTTTTATTTACCATTCAGGAATCTAAAATGTACTATATCTTGGTACTACAAATGAGGATTGTTTCAGACTGGCATTTGTAGTGTTTTTTTTATTCCCCCCCACCCTCCCTCCACTTCCAAGGGAGGCAGATGTTACAAGGTACTAATCCTGAATTACTTTCTGCTCTCTACTTGAAGCATGGAAGGAAAAGATACTCAGTTGCAGTTTTGCAACACTAAGAGGGCTAACAAGCCATGTAAGGCAGATAAATAGTTGTTACAGCTTATCTGTAAGTGACCTAAATATTACAGGGACATTCAGTATAATTCTGGATGTATAACCTGTTCAAGCCCTTTGTAATGCTCAGTTTTGTACCTTACATACCAGGGGAATTAACCAGAGAAATCTTAGACTGGTAGATAATTACTGCATATGAACTCTGTATATGTTGATATGTCCATTGTCAAAGCTTCTTTTGGTTTTGCACTCTTATAGATAAGGCCTTCATGTTTGGGGAGGGGGGAAATATCATAGATAAACAGGGTATATTGATATGCAGTGTAACAACCTAATTCTAGTGTTAACTTACTCAGAAGTCACTATGTTGTGATGGGCTTTGTTAACATTTATGTGGGGTTGCAATATGTTTTCACTGCTAATGTAGGGGACTTGTAGTATGAAAGTAATATTTAAAATCCTTAACTGGCTCTCTCAAATGCATCAAACAACATTCACATAAACCGTTTTATACACAGACTAACAATCTTATACTTCAATACTCTCTTCTAGAAATCCGTCTCTGAAGCAGCAGCTATTTTCATATGCTATCCTGGGATTCGCCCTGTCTGAAGCTATGGGTCTCTTTTGTCTGATGGTTGCTTTCTTGATCCTGTTTGCAATGTGAAGAGATCTGCTGCTCGTAATATTGGCATTAGTAAACTATGAATGTAATTGTATGTATCTTACTGGGGCTCCCAAATCTTGATGTGGAAATGAACATTATTTCCAAAGTCATTTAATTAAAGACAATAACTTTATCTGTTTGGCTGTGGCCTTCATTTATTAATATGATCACTTTGTCTAGTGGATGTGAGAATGTTGGTTCATGTGACAATAAATTGTAAATGGGTGCAATAGTGATCTGCAGTCACCACAAATTTCTCCTTATCTCTCTGAATTCACAAGAAGTACAAGACCCTGAAATCATAACTTCAAAGTAACAAGTTCAAAAATCCACATTTAAGGATTTGTCTGTGTAGTCACTGCATATGTCATGTCTATTTTAGTTCTGAGTTGAATGCATTTGTCATTTGGCTTTCTAGGTAAAGACCCATAAAAATAGCCTGCCAAAGGCTATTGGTGATCTTAGGTGTATGAAATACTAATGATTTTTTGTAATGACATTTAGAGACAATTAAACTTTGACTGCCTTCCTCTAACTTTTTTGTTTCCTGCTCCCATGTTCAATTCCAATACTGCTGAACTTGATAGGGTATTCCCTAGCACCTTTTCTTCTGAGGCTCAAAAGCTGGGGTAGTCAATACACTGACCAAATCTGGACTATCAAATGGTTTTGAATGGACTCTAAAATCTTGATTTGCTTATTTTTCTGTGGAGTCTAGACTCTGACATTACTTTGACCAAGAAATTTGGACAGTCTCAAAAAATAGACTATTATGAACAATCAGTTTCACACATACAGAATGGGAAGCGACGGTCTGGGAAGGAGTATGGCAGAAAGGGATCTAGGGGTTATAGTGAACCACAAGTTAAATATGAGGCAGCAGTGTGATGCTGTTGCAAAGAAAGCAAATGTGACTGGGATGCGTTAACAGGTGTATTGTGAGCAAGACATGAGAAGTCATTCTTCCACTCTACTCTGTGCTGATCAGGCTTCAGTTGGAGTATTGTGTCCAGTTCTGGGCACCACATTTCAAGAAAGATGTGGAAAAATTGGAGAGGGTCCAGAGAAGAGCAACGAGAATGATTAAAGGTCTAGAGAACATGACCTATGAGGGAAGGCTGAAGGAATTAGGTTTGTTTAGTTTAAAAAAGAGAAGATTGAGGGGAACATATCATCTGAAAACTGCTATCTAAAAGGGTGTCAAAAGGAGGAGGGAGAACTTGTTCATCTTGGCCTCTGAGGATAGAACAAGAAGCAATAGGCTTAAACTGCAGCAGGGGAGGTTTAGGTTGGACAGTGGGGGAAAAGGTTCCTAACGGTCAGGGTGGTCAAACACTGTAATAAATTGCCCAGGGAGGTTGTGGAATCCCCGTCTCGGGAGATATTTAAGAATAGATTAGATAAATTTATATCAGGGATGGTCTAGACAGTATTTGGTCCTGCCATGAGGGCAGGGGACTGGACTCAATGACCTCTTTAGGTACTTTAAGAGAGTCTCTTTCTCATAAGACTGCTAGATCCAGAAGCTTGGCCTGTTTCAAATATTTTTCAAAAGTGGCTCTGCATTTCACTCTCCTGTGGACAAATTTTGGGCTTGGTTGACTCTGTGTAAGAAACATTTAAAGTACCAGAGTGTGAACTATTCTAGAGTTATTCTTTAACAAGCAATGTTAATAGGGGTGATGACCATATGCAGCTTTTATTTTCTAAACAGGAGTACATTTTTCTGGATCATCTTAAGAGATCACTTTAATCTCTACATGTGTCCTTGGTGGGGGAGATCAGGGAGTGGGGTCAACACATGTAGTGGCTTGTTAACTCTGGTTGCTTTAAAAAAAAGTTACCTGCTGTGACAGAAGTAATTTGCATGGAAACTATAAAATCCCAAAAGCTGGATTGATTATTTTTTTGTGAAGTAAGCAAAGTAATGTAAGTTGAGCTGGTAATAAATCTTGTGGCTGACTTACACAATTAATACACAGAACTCCCCACTTTCTATAACACATATTATTCAGTTTTAGCTGCTTTACTAGCATGATTGTAAAAATAGTTATGACTGACTCTAAAATAAAATTAAATTGTCATAACCTGCATGGCAGCAACATTAAGTACATAAGACCCCTTATCTCATACAGAAGCTGAGTTGGGCAACAACTTATTAAAGATGTGGATGATCACAACTGCTCGTTCTAACCTCCCAACTAGAAAAACATCATTAATGTTCATCTTAAACTTAGTTTCTGAAATGTTGTAACTTAAGGAATTTCTTGCATTTTTTTTATCAACTTTACTTCAAACCAAGCATGTTCTGTTATTTCCCCTATTTAGTCCATCTTATTGCAGAGCAAACATGTAAACATCAAGCGGGCACCAGAAAATTCTTTGACAGAATTGTTTACACATAAGACAAACTGGACACTTGTAGTATCAGTACTGAAGTATTTTTTTCTCCTCTTAGGAGTAGTGATGAAATACCTTTGATTAACCAATAAGCAAAAGCTTATCAATTAATGCTATAGACTACATGCATTTCCCCTTCTCTTCCTCTCTCTCTCCTTCGTCTCCCCCCAATGTGCTAGTAAACTATTTACAGGCTAGCCAACAGCCTGGCTCAGTCCTGGCTTGCAGTGGGTCCGGGGCCTGCACCTGCTGGGGTTCTACATTTAAAGTGCATTAGGAGCCAGGTGGACAGGCAGCCTGGCTCAGTTCCGGCTTGTGACTGGCCTGGCAGCTCAGATTTGCTCTGACGGGCTGCTGCTTCTGTATCGGAGGCAGCAGCGCAGGGCAACAAGCAGCTGGTCCACAAGGGGAGCTGTTTTTCAAACCTGCTCTCCTCACAGACCAGCTCCTGCCTGACACTGCGCTACTTCCTCTGATACAGAGGCAGTAGGGTGGAGTGGCAGGGGCTCTTTGGGAGTGAGGCCAGAGCACGCTGCCAGCCCCACTCCCAGGGACTAAAGTAATGGATAATAATTATTTGACTATTCCATTAACCAATATTTAACATGCCTACCTGGGAGATGCTGAAGAGCAAAAAGCTGCCACTTTAACATGTATCCATTTTTTTTGTATGTGCGTATTATTCTTCAATATCCTAGCCTTAAACCTGCAGGCCACTTAGTTTTTAGTGTATATTAACTGCTTCAAGTACACAAGAGAGCCTTATTTTCAAACCACATCAGTTAATGTAAATAGGCCTAATCAAGCTCCTACCTTCTGCAAGCTCAAAGCGGGGATAGGATACCAAACAAGCTTTAGGGGACAACACCAACCTTCCCCACCTTCACCCTTATAGTGAAGAGCCAAAATGTTGGCATGGTGACACCTATGTCTTACATCGTTTGGAGATAGTGGAAGAAGGAAGCTAAAAAGTCTCTGCAAGCTACTAAGCAATCCTCTGACAAATCTCTGTTGAGAAATAGCAGTGAGCTGCTCTCACTGCCAACAACCCAAAATTTAGTTTCTGAAAAATCTTAGTGTGGCAACTTTAAAATAAATCCAATTGTTCAGTTTATTCCCTAGATAATAGGAGCTCGATGAACCATCACCTTTGTTGTTTGCCATCAAGCAATAATGCATTTTTGTCACTTGCACTGCAATATTGCCTAGAGCGCCCATTGTGGTTTAAGAACCCATCATTTTAGGGATTGTACAAAACCATAACAAAACTGAAGACTTGCCCATTTAAAGAACTTTTGAGTTTCTTGGAGATGTGATGTTGATGTAACCAATTTCAAATCTGACATTTCTACCCTTCCCATAACAGATAATCTACCAACTTGAATACAATTGTTTTGTTTATAGCAGGGAAAGGATGCAAAAGTTAGGTTATAATGTACATTTAAAGGGACATGGATCTAGCTGATTTTTTAAACTAACTTTTTTTAACAGAACTCTTGGAAAAAATATGGCTCTAAGGGTTTTTAACAAGGTTTTTTTTTTTAATTTGTATTGCTGTAGTTAAGAATCTCACAACAAATGATCTGGTAGTACTTCATAGACTAACAAAACATGTAGATGGCATCATGAGGTTTTGTGGGCACAGCCCACTTCTTCAGATGACCAGAATGGACTGCCTACGAAAGCTCATGATGCCATCTACATGTTTTTTAGTCTATGAAGTGCTACCAGACTATTTGTTGTTTTTTTCTGTACAAACTTAACTCAGCTACCCCCTGAAGCTTAAGACTCCCAGTCATGTCTTAAGACCTCATTGTGTGAAGCACTTTACACACTGAAAAAAAACAGTCCTGGGTCTGCTGTTATTTAAAGGGTTCTTTTGGTGGACCCATACATAACATTACCAAACATGCTTGCAGACACTTCTCATGCATCTCCTGCTCTTTTTTCTGTGATAATGATTATACAACTAATTGGAGAGACAAGATGGGGGAAGTGAGATCTTTTATTGTGCCAACCTCTGCTGTTGATAGACAAGCTTTTGCACTTACTTTATTCAGAGCTCTTCTTCATGTCTGGGGAAAGTATTCACAGTATCACAGCTAAATACAAGATGGACAGATTGTTTAGCATCACAAATGTTGTAATACACCCATGCAAGGTGAAGTTGGAGGATTAACACTTATGTAGTCAGAGGACAAAGAAGGAGGATTGGGTGAATTATAGATTGAATGTATGGCTCATGTAAAACACTGTCTTTACTGAGTCCATGATTTTTAGTCTAACAAAGTTGTGAGTTTAAGCTCCCATGTTTGTGTTTTGAAGATGATGCACAGATTTCCTTTGAGGATGAGGACTGAGAGGTCAGATAATTCACTAATTGACAAACTGGAAAAAATCATTTTATTCTTTATTCTCAGAGGAATTTTAGCTGCTACATTTGTATCTACGAAAGTTAAATGTTTCAGATGGAAATACGATTTGAGTCGACATTGTCTGACCCATTATGGAATACTTACTGTCACTTAATGATCAACAAGCCTCAGATACGTCAATTAAATGTGAAATATAGATTCAATTTTTACGTGTAATTGAGCTATTGCTTTAGGTATAATTAAAATAAAAATTTACATAACTAAAGGAAACAGTTAAAATTTATAGCAATACTTTTTTGCCGCATTGTTTAAGGACATAAACATTCTAGTTCAAAAAGACAAACTTGTAAAGAAAGATCCTTTTGTTTTCCCCATTACATTTTAGGCATAAGGTTGCCGGATGGTTTCAACAAAAATACCGGACACACTTGACATTAAATCACAATCTACATTACATCTTATTTAGAAAATACTGGATATTTATATTTTCTCAATTTGTTTCCCGAACAGAAAGCTCAAATACTGGACTCTCCAGTTCAAAACCGGATACCAGCCAGCCCTATTTAGGCATTGTAGTCTTGAGGAAATTTCATTGCCCTGTTAACTGTGAGACTCACTAATATTAATTGGATTCAGGTGACCATGTGGACTACACTTTGTTCTGCTGATAACACTAACATTTTGTTATATATATAATTTGCAATCCAAGTATGTGTAAAACTTATGACTGCATTTTGAAGAGCTAAAAATATGATATCTACCACTTCAGTGTAGCAATAAGCAATGTTTAAATTACATAACATTTTCCTGCTTCGTTTATAAAACTTTCCTTGCTGTCTTGGATCAGCCACAAAGATGCTTTTAGTACTGTAGTTGCTGGAATTTTCTAATTAAAATTCAAAATGTTTTAGCTAACATTTTGTATTTTATTTAAAAGGACATTGTCAACTTAAAAATCACCGCAGTCTAATTTTGAACATCACAAGTTGTTAGAGCTCGGTCATACAGAACAATGACAATTGAGTGTTACACGTGGGCAGTTGCACTCAGTGTACATCAATACTGATGATGATGCTGGTGTAACCCTGAAATGTAGCGATTTCTGGGTACATTCCCTGTGGTTCATTTTCATAGAATACAAGGTATTTAGCAACTTTGTCTGACCCCTATGGAGATTGTTGGCAGAAGTGACCTAGTCCCTCAAAATTGCCAGGAACCAAACTGGCCAATAAGTGAAAAAACTTGGAGCAATGCTGAGAGTGATCACATACATTTAAGGCTGTGTCTAGACTGGCATGATTTTGCGGAAATACTTTTAACGGAAGAGTTTTTCCATTAAAAGTATTTCCACGGATGCTTTTGCGCAAAAGCATCCGTGCCCAGTATAGACGCACTTTTGCGCAAGAAAGCTCTGATGGCCATTTTAGCCATCGGGTTTTCTTGCACAAAAAATTAAGGTGCTTGTCTACACTGGCCCTCTTGCGCAAGTATTCTTGCGCAAGAGGGCTTATCCTTGAGCGGGAGTGTCAAAGTATTTGTGCAAGAAGCACTGAATTCTTACTTTAGAACGTCAGTGCTCTTGTGCAAATTCAAGCTGCCAGTGTAGATATCTGGCAAGTTTTTGTGCAAAAGCACTTGCTTTTGCACAAAATCTTGCCAGTCTAGACGCACCCATAATGACTAAAGATTATATTTAAAAGCATGGAAAATACAAATTCAATCATTATAAAGTTTTTCTAGTTATAATTCAGAAAATACTCCTTGTGTGTCAGTAGGTAAGAATGATATGAGGATAAGGCCTGCACATGAAAATTTCTAAATTCTTCCTTGTCAGAATTTTCATAAGGCATAATGAAATTATTATATAGTTTGGTATTCCAGATCCCTACCAGTTTTGAAGTGTAATTTTTGTACATAATTGTCATATGTTTATACATTTGTTTTATTTAGTCATTCAGTGGTCATTTTGCTTCTTGAGCATGCCTTAGCTAATTTTTACAACTATACCATGTTGTAAATAAAGGCTCTGAACATTGTTTTTTTGGTTTAACAAATGACTGCAACTTTTATTAGTTTACTCCAAACCCCTGCAATAAGAATATTTATATATCCAAAACCATGCCCTTCTACCTATTAGTAAAAGTTGAGCAACGCAACTCTTGCTTTCCTGCCACAATGGACTCAGAACCAAATTGTATCCAAGATACTCTTCCAGATAACATTGGGAATTGGTCCAAATTAAAACGTGATTTGTCCGGCAGTACGCCTACGTCGCTTCTCAGTGTTAAAGCATCTGCTCATTCAAATGCTCACACTGTAACATGACTTCACTTCTACCTCTGTGCATTAAGTTAGGATAACCTCTGGGCATGATTACACACTATAATTTCAATAGACAACCTGCCAAGTAATCCTGAATTACTTCAATCTGCTATTATGAGATAGTATCTGACTTTGGATCACTTATCCATGCTGAATAAGCTTAACCAGAAGACTTATCCTGTTCCTTTTTAATGGATCACTCTTTTCTAAATAAGAGGATAAGGGATCTTTCAGAAAAGGCTTTATTTTCCAAAAGATCCGCGTCTAGACTGGCGCTTTTTTCCGGCAAAGCTCCGTGCTGAAAAAAGCGGCAGCCATTTTTATGCTAATGAAGCGGGGGAGATTTAAATCCCCGCTTCATTAGCAATTGCAATACGTCTAATTTGCATCCCTTTTACGAAAAAGGGATGCAATCTAGACGTAGCCTTACTGTACAGATTTTTCCAGTGGCACACATCTGTGGCAGTCTTCGGTCTCTGATCCACCTTTGTCTCTCCTCTTCTGTCTGTTCTTACCTCCTGTCCCCACAGAACAAATTATCTCTTGGCGCTAATGGCTATGAAAGAAAAGTGGTATAGTTGGAACAAGGGTGCTGGCTTGGTATACTTTCTGGCTACGTCTACACTGGCATGATTTTCCGGAAATGCTTTTAACAGAAAAGTTTTCTGTTAAAAGCATTTTCGCAAAAGCGCATCTAGATTGGCAGGAAGCTTTTCTGTAAAAGCACTTTTTGCGGAAAAGCATCCGTGGCCAATCTAGACGCGCTTTTCCGCAAAAAGCCCCAATCGCCATTTTTGCGATCGGGGCTTTTTTGCGGAAACGAAATCTCTGCTGTCTACACTGGCCCTTTTACGCAAAAGTGTTTCGGAAAAAGACTTTTGCCCAAACGGGAGCAGCATAGTATTTCCGCAAAAGCACTGACAATCTTACATGAGATCGTCAGTGCTTTTGCGGAAATTCAAGTGGCCAGTGTAGACAGCTGGCAAGTTTTTCCGCAAAAGCAGATGATTTTGCGGAAAAACTTGCCAGTCTAGGCACAGCCTCTACAGTCAGAGTTTTGAGAACCACTTAACAAACCCTGTTTATGATGGAAACCACTTCTAGCACTCCCAGCATCTATTATTTGGAAAGTATAAGATCCCCATTGCTTCCTGCTCTGAGCCTTTCAAGCCCAATGAGCAATCACAAATTATTTTACATTTATATAAAGCTCCTACTATAATCTTTATCCCACAGGGTCTCAAAGAAAACCGTTGTTTGCAGTGTTGCTGCCCTTGTGTTAGGCCCAGGATAGTAGAGAGTTAACGTGAGTGGGGTAACACTAATTAACATAATTCATTTGTATTATCATAGCCCCGATGAGCCTCAGTCAGGGACCCACCCGGACCCCACTGTGCTGCCAGGGCTGTACACAGAACAAAATGACGGCCCCTGCCCCCAAAGACAATGCACTTTGAATTACCACAAAACGGTCACGAGGTCGATTTTAAATCTCCTCTGTCATGCCCCTCCTCCCCCGCATTATCTTCCGTTCTAACCCGTACGCGGGAGCAGCCCTGGGCCAGTCGTTAGAGACGCGGCGCTAGAAGACCAGCTTAGCAAAACGCCACCTACAGGCGTCCATCCCCTCCCCCACAATTGAGCGCTTCCGGCCAACCAGACACTAGAGGGCCCCACCCTGCAAACCAATCAGTGGCCTTCTCTATGCTACCGCCAGCTGCAACTCTCGTGGATCACGTGACCCCTTTCCCTCGGCCTGGGGAGGGGGGATGCCAGTGAGTTATCGCGAGAAGGGACGGAAGCCTATGGGGGACCCGGCCTTTAATGTGCGGTTCGGCCCCTCTCCCCGGGTGAGTTTGTAAACAGAGCGCGGCGAAGGGCAGCGCCTCTGGCGCGTTGTAACGGGGTGTTGTGGGTAGCGGCGCCTCGGCCCTAGCGGGCGAGGGAAGGGGGCGGCGTGGGCCGGGCCGGGCTGGGCTGGGCTGGGCTAAGTGGGGGTGCCCGGGAGGTATTAACATGGCGCCGCCGCTCTCCACGGAGACCCCCGCCTGTGGCCCCCGCCACCCTTAGAGCCGCGGGGTTCGGGCCGGAGCCAGCGCGCAGGAGACTGTTACCCGCCCCCGAGGTAGGCTGGTCCCTGCGGCTGCCCCAAGGAGGGGGCTGGGGAGCAGGGCGAGGCTTCTTCCCCGGAAGTGGGCTGCCCTGATAGATACAGCCGGCTCCCACCCGTCCCCGGGGGCGCAGGGGTTGCTCTCCCCTGCAAGGGTAAAGCGGGCCTGCCCCTCCCCCTGCTGCGACGGGACCGAGCCAAAGGAGAAGCGGGAAGGTTCCTCTCTTCGCCTGTGACTGCCTGAGAGTAGAGAGGGGCGGGTGGAGGGAGAGGAGACCCAGGTGCCCTCAGCAAGTGCTAAAAGGGGAGGGCAGAGCCAGAGAGGGGGCTGTCGCTCTGTTGCCCGTAAGTGCCGATGCGATTGTGTGGCCTGTACCTACTTCCAGCCTGGCCTGGGTTGTAGTGCTCTGCTGGGGCACATCACCATTGTGACTGTGTTGAGTGGGAGCTCGACACTGTGCTGCCAATTGTAGGTATTTTCTTTAGGGTCCTCTCAATAACCTTTCACTTATTGTGGCCCATTTTGGAGGACTCTTTATGAGAGGCAGAGCTGATGCCCAGACATTCAAAGCATGATAGTTATATTGAAGGTTGTGAACATCTTCCCTGAGGGGCCCATCTCTTGCCTCAGGATTGTTCACTATTGTAGGTACTAGGAACTTAATGTGTTGTCATGTCCACTCCCACCACCTAGTAAATTTATTTTACAATTTGCAATCTTTTGGTTTCCCTCACACAAAATAATACTGTCTTTGCAAATGAAATGAGTTGGGATACTCTTGTATCTCATGTAATTTGGATGCCTTTTCTCTGTCTCCCCCCCCCCCCCCAAAATATAAATTCTATGCTTATCTTTTTCTCCAAATAATTGAATTCTGAGCTTTTTGTTTTCTATCTTCCATCCTTTCCCTGCCTTTAGTAAAATCTTTATTCCCTTTATATCCTAGTCAATGAATCTTGGATTTAGTTTGGGACAACAGCAGAAGCAATTTCTGAGTGCAAGAGTTTAGGCAGATTAAAATAGCCATTTTTGTGTCTACTGAGAATATCCACATTTAGTTTAGATAAGGTAAAAAGGTATAAGATTCAAATTATGCTCGATGGCTGTGGTTTTCAGCCTGTGGTCCATGGACTCCTGCGGGGGCGTGGGGAACTGCAAACTATGTCTAAAATTTCCAAAGAGCTCTGTGCTTCCATTTGAAATATTTTAGGAGGGGAAAACAGCTATTGCTTTAGAGTATAAGACAACCAGTAGCAGCTGGGGGGGAACCCTGTGGACAGGTGTTTCCATAATTGTGAAATGCAAGACTTTTTTTAAACCTTTCTCTGAAGTATCTGGTAGTGGCTGCTATTAGAGGCCCAATAGTGCAGACACTTATGCATAAATTTAACTTTACTTCATTACTGGTAGTAGCTCAATTATTTAAAGCAAGTGTTTGCGGAACTAGAACCAGAGAAGAAGTTACTGGATTAGGTAGAATAATGCTCTAATCTCTTAGTTATAAAATCTACTAAAGCGCCATGAAAATAACACTTAGCATATTTCAAAGGGCCTTTTTGCAATGAGTGAACTTGAACAAAAAAAATCTAAAACATTATTGGGGCTTATTGTTACATTAAAGGTTACTGTCAGAAATTTACATTAATAAAAATGCATTTTGTGCAGGAGGGTAGGAAACCTATTTATCATTTTATATTTGGGTAGTTAAAGTTGTACATTAATATTTTGATCTTCATTGCACACACAATGTCTTTACTCAGACTTAGAGGTTGGTAAGTTTAATTTTGTTGATATCTGTAGTCTTCACTAGGCATTTTATAACTATACAGATTCTGCCATGTATCCTCCTTTTTACTCAGAAATTTTTATCTTATTTGATTATATTAAATCTTTATGGGTTCACTGCTGCTCCCACACAGTTTGTTCTTGGATAGGATATGCCCAGATAATACTGTATTCCATTAACTTTTGACATTTGGCCATGTTTCTGATGTGCCTGTTATGTCAAGATTTAATTCCATTTTTAGCCATTGTAGTTCATCTTTTTTTTGTCTGTGGATATTTGTGATCACAAATAAAAGCCATGTGCCAATCTTTATCTATTTCATGATATGTATTGCTTTTCTGAAATTTAATCTGAACTCGTCCTAGTATGCTTCCATTTTCAAAAAATGTTTATCAAATTCCCATTTGTAAAGAACCCATTGAAGACTTTCATTGTGACAAGCATAATATGATGATACTTCCTGAAGTCAAGTTGTGTGCATTAGCTAGCTTATTTAACTGCATCATCTTATTACAGTGACCCTGTAGTCTCTTCAACCATTCCGTGTTGCTTGATACTTTCTCTTGCTATGTCTTGTCTTAAATTACACTGTAAGCCCTTGTAGGCAGGTACTGCTTTCTTGCATCTTGGTACACATAGGTCCATGTTCCTCCTTGGAGCTATGGGATGTTACTGGTGTGTGTGTGTGTGTGTGTGTGTGTGTACACCAAATATAGAGTTTCATGGTATCGGACACTGTTAACTTACACTTCTATTAGGGATATTAAAGACTAGTCAACTAGCTGACTATCCGATAAGCAAATGCTATGATAGAGGATCAGCTGAGCAGTGCTGCTGCTTTGAAACCCCAAGGCAGCATTTCAAAGGGGCAGACGCTGCACATTTGATCCGCGGCTCAGCTGTGCAGTGCTACCCCTTTAAAACACTGAAGCACTGTGGAGCCTGGGGTCAGCTGGGGACTCCCCAGCTAACTGTGGGTTCCAAGCAGCATTTCCCCAGAACCCAGGGAATGGCTGAAATGTCATGCAGAGCCCAGTATCAGCTAGGGAGTCTGCAGCTACCCCTGGCTCCACGGTGCTGAGGAGTGTCACTCCTCAGCTGATCCCAGGTTCTGGGAATATGCCATGTGGAACCTGGCCAAGCGGAGCCCAGGGAGTCCCAAGCTGACCCTGGATTCTGCTGCTGCGCAGAGCCTGAAGTTCAGCTGGGAACTGCTCAGCTGATCTGGGCTCTCTGTGTCATTTAAGCAGAACCTGGGATCACCTGGGGAGTCCCCAGCTGACCCTGGACTCCATGGCTTTGAAATGTACAAGAGCCCCTGTTGGGGACTTTTATACATTTCAGAGTTGGCACCTGCATGCAGCCCAGAGTCAGTGGGACTTCCTGCTATCCCTGGGCTACAGGCGTGGTTCCGCATTCCTCCTTTGAAATTCCTCCTCTCCTACTGGGGTTCTTGTACATTTCAAAGAAGGAATGTGGAAGTCAAGTAGTCAATGGAAATTGTCGACTGCAGTTAACTGACTAGTCGAATAATTTTAACATCCTGTCAAAGTCAGACACAGGACTCACAGATTTGTCTGACCGCTCTGTTTCTTTAGCAAAGCCGCTTTGCTAATATACCCAGAAAATGTGAGTACCATACAAGGCTCAAGCCCTTTAGATTTATACAGTCAAAAGAAAGCCAACTTAACAAGATTAAAAGGTGGCAAAACTTATTAGTATGAGACTAGTCAAGTATCTTCATTTCCACATCAAGCACACAGCAATCTCCTGTCCATATCTCCCTGGCTACCTAAATTACTTTCTGCCTAACACCTAATGTTCCCTTTCCAGTTACAGGCAGTCCCCGGGTTACGTACAAGATAAGAACAAACCTACAGTCCCTAAGTTGAATTTATATGTAAGTCGGAACTGGCGTCCAGATTCAGCTGCTGTTGAAACTGACCAACGGCTGACTACAGGAAGCCCGAGGCAGAGCAGCTCTGCCTCGGGTTTCCTGTAGTCAGCCGCTGGTCAGTTTCAGCAGCAGCTGACTTGGGGACGCCTGGGGGAGAGCAGCT